CACATAATCATTCCTAAACTATAAATATCAGAAGCTTTTGAAAATGGAGCACCATTAAATACTTCCGGCGCAATATAGGGAACTACTCCATAAATTTCATTATGTTTTAATGGAGTATTATTTGCAGATTGTGATAATCCTAAATCTCCAATATGACATTTTTGATCTGACAATATGATATTTCCACTATGAAAATCGCGATGTATAAAATTTGCATTATGAATTGCTTTAAGCCTAAAAAGAAGATGTAGTTATTAATAAACTTGTTTATTTCATATCAAAAACATGAATGGTGCATATAAATATAAATACCCACCCATATACAATTTGACAAAGCATTTCTAATTTTCTATCCCATTTGATAACTTTGAAATGTTTTTGTAAATACTCATGTAAATTTCCATCATTTGCAAATTGCATTACTATCATATATTCATTCGTATCAGGATCCATTGTAATTCCATAATATTGAAGAATATTGGAACGTTTTTTATAACAATAATAATATGATTTTAACTATAAAATCAATCAAATATTAATATGTTGTTTACAGAAGATTATTTTAAAAGATAAAATATACAGTATGCATAATAAATAATAACCTCATTCCAAAGAAATTTGCTAAGATTTTGCGAATTGAAAAAACGTTTGATAGCTACAGTAATGTGTTTGTCTTTACTACAATCAAACCAAGATGCCCGATAAATATTACTAAAACCGCCTTGCGCAATTTTTTTAATATTCTTAAGTCGAGAATATGGTATCAATTCCATAGTTGCATAATCCATATTATTATTTTTAGTAGACCTGTAAACGTTTGATGAGATTAGATCGTTTATTATAATGTTTAAGTCATAACTTTTAAGATAGTTAAATCTTGTTATCGTTATCCTTGTTATATCAAAGATTTCATAATTTCTACTGTTTTTAGTATTAACAGATGATATTCTATCGTTTTCACTTTTAAATTTATCCAAGTTATAGATTTTTGTTAAAAATAGTTTACATCCTGCATATATTATACATTTGTGACAGTCAGATATTGATTTTAAGTCAAATTTTCTAACTGATAATTTAACAAAAGTACCACAACATGATATGTATGGAACTAAAATAAGTTTTCCATGTAGCGATTTACATACGTTTCTATTGATAGGCAAAACATATTTGTTTATTCTCTTAAATATTAAGTTCGAAGCAAATCAAATCAATCATTATTTATTTTAATTACCTCATTTTCAATATATTACTGTTAAACATATTGAGTACATCAAAGGACAATAGATTGTGATAATTGCAGGTACCATTACAATTATTATTATCACGCATGTTCAATATTAGTCTTTTTTAGCAGCAAAGCAACTTTCTTGATTTAAAAATTTTAAATTCTTTTGACTTTTAATAATGATGATATTCGGATCCAAGCACCTAAATGAGTCCGATCCACGCATTAAAAATGGTTAACGATTTGGATTTATGTATGATCAACAATAATAAATAAATAAATAATGATATTGATGATCCTATACGAAAGGGGCATTGAATTAAATTTGAATCCAATCTTTAAATTTTGTATTTTCATTGTCATTAACTAAATGTTCAGTTATAGAAGGTCTTCGATTCCCAACATATATGCATTATTTCAGGTCTATTTCCTTTAATAATTGATTATTATGTTCAACATTAACAAAAGGCTTAGAACCTGTCATAAGTTCCCACATTAACTATAAATATAAGAGGCTTTTGAAAATGAAGCATCTTTAAATATTTCTGGCGTAATATAGGGAATTACTCTATATATTTCATTATTTAAAGCAAACACCTAATCATTTATTATTCTATTATTTTTAACCTATTTTCCTCATTTTACTTATAAACATATTGCGTATCTCAGAGTATGAGAGATTGTAAGAGCGCAAACAATTTTTTTCAATTTTGCATATTTTTTTTTCACAGCAAAAACAATTACAACTTTTTTATTAAAATGAATGAATGAAAATTTTTAGTTTATTATCAGTTACATAATATCTGATCGATCAAATTAAACAAATTAAATTTATACTATAAATGGTTTTCAAAAGATTTTTTTGGTTTAAGCAATTTTTTTAAATAAGACATAATCGTTACCTAAATTGTTATGTTATATACCTATATTTTCTTTATAATTATACAAATATTACAAATTTCGTAAATCTAATGATCTCCAACTTTTTTTTTGACATGTTACACGCGTCCTTTTTTGTTTGCTTTATTATTATGAAATAATCTCATTTTTTATTGGAGGGTCCTCAGAACCCGATTTTAATAGCAAAGCTCCCCATATGGTATCCATAACAATTGTGCGTGATCCATATATGTTTTATGATATAGACCTTTAAGCGTTTGATATGAAATGCTGTAATAATTATTTATAATTTTAACGTTTGATGAGTTGAAACTTTTCAGAGTCATTATGTTTAGGTTTTTAAATGGAAAAACTCGGTAATGTCATAATTTCCAATTTTTTTTATTACGTCAACAGATGGTAATCTCTCGCATTTTCTGCATTTTGATTTATCCGTAAGTCCAAAGGTGATGTTAATTGTTAAACAAGATCTACATCCAGTATATATTAAATAACAATCGGAACACCATTCCTGACAGTCTGTTGTTGATTTCAAGTCTAGCTTGCAAACTAAACATTTATCAAAAGCCCCTATTTTCAATTTAACATTTTGCGTCTCTCAAAGTTTGTGAAATTGTAACAATAACTCAAAAAGCATGATCTGCAATAAGGATAGCTGCTTGTCTTGATCTTAATATATTTGTCTCCACAAAAGTGCAATCACTGTTTCTCTGATTAAAAGGAAAAGTTTTAATTTTTTTTATTATTGCAACCAATTTAAAAAAGAAAAAATTTCATTCGTGCATGCATGTTTAAGTAATTTATTGTTGTACAAATTTCGGCTATAAAATGTATGTAAATCAAATTCCCATATATCTAATCGAATCCGATTCAATCAAAATAAAACTAATTAAATTTAGACTATAATGGAATGGTTTAAGTCTCGAGTTAAATAAAATGGTTTGGTTTGGATTTTTGTAATATCAAAATCACAATAATAGTTTGAATTGTTTATCCACAAAACCTGTAACCATCGTATCACAAATATTGATAATCCTTCCTTATGCCTACATGTGAAAAATATAAAAAGGTAGTATGATAATTCTTTCTTTAATTTTTAATTTAATATAAATATTACCATTGATAATATACCTGATGAAAATCTGGAATCAAAGAACTTAATGCTCCCTACAATCCTGTTTTTTAATACAATCTTTTGTGTTCAGATTGATTGCGTTGTTCTATATTTTCATTTTCATAAACATAACAACTAAATGTTTCATGAATAATAGATATAGAAGTTTTCATTAAATTAACAAATATTTTCAAGTCGTTTTCCATTAATAATGTTAATAAAAAGATGAAAATTATAAGCTTTTGAAAATGAAAACACTTATAAATTTTTCCGGCGCAATATAGAGATATATGACATTATTTTATGGATAATTATAATCTCCTATTTGAAATTCTTGATCTGACAAATGGTCTTAAAATTTAAAATAAAAAAGCAATAGTTAGTATATAAATTAATAAAAATAAAAAAAAGAATATAAATAATACATAAAGTGTATACTTAGCGTCTATTCCATTCAATATCTCCGAAATGTGTTTGTAGATAATATGAAACCTGTTGCAATAGAAAGAGGGGAAACTATCGAAAAAATAAAAAATGAGTTAATTCTAGATTTGAACATGGCCTAAAAATCATATTTGGCATATAAAAGTAAAATTGATTTTTCCCCCCTTTCTATTGCAAATGTCCCACCCCATATGATTTTTTTTTTATAAAAAAAAATTATTAAAAATATAACCTCATAGAAATAATATTTGCTAAAACCTTGCGAACTGAAAAAAACTTTTGATAGGATAGCTACAGAAAATGTGTTTTTATTACCATGTAACAATATTACTAAAACTGCCTTTAATTATATTTTTAAAATTCATAATTCAAGCATAAAATAATTTTTTAATCGACTAGTAAATGTTGGATGGGTTGTAAATGTTATTTATATTTTTAAATCATTATTTATAACGTAACATTATAAAATCTTATGCTTTAGAAATCTCATCAATTTCAGATCCATTGCTTTTTTATGTTAACAGATGATAATTGACATTTTGATTATCCGTAAGTCTAAAGAATATATTATATAACAATCTGAAAATCATTCCTGGCGGTCAAAGATCGATTTCAATTTCTGTTTGCAAATTAAACATTTATCAAAAATATCCCACCACGGTAAGTAAAGAACTGGAATAATTTTTTATATATAGCAATCAAGTATAATAAGTTTAATAAATGTTTGTGCTATTAAAAAAATTTTGAATTAAATGTAAGTTCGATTAACTATAAGTAATTGTATTGTCGCACAAAATTCTATAATTCAAGATCCAAATAGGTTTATTCGAATCCCATGTCATCACATTATCATATATCTAATCGATAACGTTAAGGGTTAAATAAAGACATTTTCGTTACCTAAATTGTTAAGTCTCGAGCTAAATTGAATTGTCCATAATGTCATTGTATCACAAATTTTGATGATCGTTCCCTTCGGATTTACTATGAATTTCATCCCAAAATCTTTTCATTAAATTACCAAAACATTCAGGTGTATCACTTGTAATAATAAGATGAATATTTATTATGTTCAACATTAGCAAAAAGCTTACAAACCTGTCGTAAGTTCCACATAATCATTTATATATAAATGTCGGAAGCATTTGAAAATAAACCGTTAAATATTTCCGTCTAAAATCGCAATGTATTAAAGTTGAATAGTGAAACATTTTCTCAAATACGAATCTTTTCGTCCAGTGAACTTTCAGTATCGCCCTATTTCCTGAATTATAATTTGGAAATACTTTTGTCAAATTGAGCGAAATTATTTTCGCACGAAACATTCATCATGAATGAAAAAGGAATATAATAATACATAAATGCAAATACACATAAGAAATTTGGCGAATATATTCTATTCTACCTTATGAAATTAAATGTCCGGAAAATGTCACTGGGTTCATCATAAAAATGTCTAGAATTACATTTTTTGGAACAAAATCTATGTCCGGAATTCTTAACGTTAAATATCCATAAACTAATTTCCAAGATCATATAAATTCCGGCTTTAACCTCAAATAAAGTCTACGTCGGAATTAAGACGTCACATGACAACTTTAGCAATAATCTTTTACTTAGCAAACATAAAAAAGTCTTATTTCGGCATTTATTATTCTTTATCTTTAAAATAGTTTATAGTTTATTTTATTTTTCTTATTTGTATTATTTGTATTATTTTTATTATCTTATTATTGCACCTTTTTTATAATTTACCGTTAGATTGTCCGAGCCAATAAATCAGAGCAGTGTCGAACAAATTTTCACAATAAATTATTAATTATTAACGAATCAACGAATTGGGAATAAAATTATTTTGTCTCGCAATAAAATAGAAAAATATTGGCCTTTCAGTAAAGAATAACGCTCATAAATTTTATATTTACATTAGTTACATCTATTTTGCACCAGAACTTTAATGATCGATAATAATAAATGGTATTATATCGCATTTGTATAATGTGCGACCAGTTCTTTGAGTATTTTTTACAGTATATTAAATCATATTCTTTTGATATATATTCTAGTTATGTTTATTAATGAATTCGTATTTTAATTTTATCTCAAATATATAAATATTTACTTACGACTCTATTGTTATTATCAAGTGATTTAAATGAATTAATGGAAGAAAAGCTTGAAATTAATGGTATTTCATCAAATTCGGGACCAAGCAATCCTGACTTTATTGAAACAAATCTTTTTTGTTCTACTTGTTTATATTGTTATGTATATACTCTTTTACATAACCAATTACTAAGTGTTTTATGAATTTCAGTTATAGAATTCCAACATCGTTTCATTAAGTTAACAAAACATTCAGGCGTATCACTTGTAATTTCAGGTCTTTTTCCTTTAATAATGTAATAAGATGAACATTATGGTCAACATTAGCACAAAATGCTTACAACCTGCCGTAAGTTCCCACATATCATTCCTAAACTATAAATATCAGAAGCTTGCATTTCTAATTTTCTTTCCCATCTGATATCTTTGAAATGTTTTTGTAAATAATGTAAATTTCCATCATTTGCATATTGCACTATTATCATATATTCATTTGTATCAGGATTTTTTGTAACTCCATAGCATTGTAGAATATTACTACGTTCTTTATAACAATAATAGTATGATTTTAACTATAATTTTTTGAAATTTGAACGATAAGATTAACGATTCAATCATAAAGAAAATGTAAATATCGCGAAAAATCTAATACCTCATTCAAAAAGTATTTGTTAATATTTCTTAGTGAATTGGAAAAACCTTTGATAGCTAAGCTATGTTGATATTCACCATTTGACCAAGTTGCATGATAAATATTACTAAATCCACCTTGTGCTATTTTTTTTTGGATCTTTAAGTTGCTTAAATGGTATCCATTGGGGCTTTATTCTTTAAAAATTTGACCAATAGTTTTGTCTTCAAAAAACGAATTTAAATTTTTTATTTGTTTAAAATCAGTAAATTTAAATCATTACACTTTATAATATGGAAAGTCTCGAATTTCTGACATTCACATGATTTTAAGTCCAGCTCGCAAGCCAACCAATTATCTAATATAAAAAATATCATGCCCATCTTGAAGTAAAATAAAATAGTCAGATATGAAATTAGGCCGTATTAATTTCTTGATTTTGTAAACTTACCTACGAAGACTTCGGATTTTTCAATAAAAATATCATATCTTCAATTTCCATTGTGCAATTTATTTAAATATAATTTTTTCAGACAATTTGGGCGCTTTGCAGTAGAAAGATACGAAACTTTAAAAAATTTAATTTTTACTTTATAAGCTAAATATGATTTTTTTTTAAATAAAATAAGTTGAGATTTAACATTAACACTAAAAAAATTTTTTTTTTATCTTTCTACAACAATGTAAAGAAGGTAACTCGTGTAACATATCACGGATCCTTTCAATGATTTTCAATTTGATCTAAAATAATAACAATGTAGATCAAATCTTTTTTTTTTTATAAGATAACAACTTGGTGTTTATTTATTTATTTATTTTTTTTTAAAGATTAAAAATCATGATTTTATATACAAATAAACAATTCTGTGCAACAAGGATTATATTGAACTTATTTTTTTTCTGGATCCAAAAAACATTTTTTAAAAAAAAAAAAAAGATGTGGCTTCATTCGATTATTTTGTAAACGAACTTTTATAGAGCTAATTGATTTCACAAAAATTGCCATAATTTGTGTATAATTGATTCAAATTTTTTTATCTTACGCTCGTTCTTCACCGCTATTTCTCTATGAACAGAAATCGGTGATTTGATTTTTTAAAACCTTTATTTTTTAATTTAATTTCCTTATTTCATACCTTTTATATCGAAAAACCTTTGTCTTCGAAAAAATAACTTAACTCTAGTTCTAGTTGTATTTACAATTCATTTAAATGAAGTTATTTTTATTGAAATGTAATTAAATAATTAAAAATACAAGTTTACAGAAAATAAATCGTAACCCAATTTGGATTTTCAGCAAAGCGGACTTTTTTTATTTACAAAATAATTTGGAATTCATAATTCGAGAGTAATAATTTCAATAATTTGAACAGATATTATTAGTAATGTATTTTGCATTAATTTCCTCCAACTTTACCAACTTTGATCAATTTTGCGTTGATGTCGATCTCTTCCGCATCCATCAAATTCATTTCTGAATTTTTTTTTTGTCTCGTGATAAAATAAAAAAAATTCTTTCAGGAAAGAATAACGCTCAGAAATCTTTACTAAAATAATATAAACATTGGTTACATTTATTTTGCACTAGAGCTTTCATGGTCATTGGTACTGTATCGCATTTGTATAATGTGCAATCTGTTCTTTGAGTATTATTTACAGTATATCAAAATCATATTCTTTTGATATATATTCTAAAAAAAAGTTATGATTATTAATGAATTCATATTTTAATTTTATCTCAAATATATAAATACTTACTTACCAATGCTATTGTTAATATCAAGTGATTTAAACGAATTAATGGAGGAAAAGCTTGAAATTAATGGTATTTCATCAAGTTCAGGACCAAGCGATCCTGAACTCATTGAATCACTTCTTTTTTGTTCGGCTTTAATATATTGCTCTGTATCTTTATTTTTATAAACCCAATAACTAAATATTTCATGAATTTCAGTTATAGAGGGCCTTTTTAATGGATCTGAATCCCAACATCTTATCATTAAATTAGCAAAACATTCAGGAGTATCACTTGTAATTTTAGGTCGTTTTCCATTAATAATGTCAATAATAAGATGAACATTATGGTCAACATTAGCAAAAGGCTTACAACCTGTCGTAAATTCCCACATAATCATTCCTAAACTATAAATATCAGAAGCTTTTGAAAATGGAGCACCATTAAATACTTCCGGCGCAATATAAGGTATTACCCCATATATTTCATCATTTGAAATGGTGTTAGTTGCAGGTTGTGATAATCCCAAATCTCCTATTTGGCATTCGAGGTCTATCAGTAATATATTTCCACTATGAAAATCTCGGTGTATAAAATTTGCGTCATGAATTGTTTTAAGCCTAAAAAGAAAGTGCATATTTAATTAATCTTATTAATTTCATAATAAAAAAACATGACTAATATAAATACCCATATGTGATTTGGGAAAGCATTTCTAATTTTCTTTTCCAATTGATATCTTCGAAATGTGTTTTTAAATACTCGTGTAAATTTCCTTTATTTGCATATTGCATTACTATCATATATTCATTTGTAACAGTATTTTTTGTAATGCCATAGTGTCGTAAAATATGACTATAATTTTTATAACAACAATGATATGATTCTAACTATAATTTTTAAAAATTAAGCGATCATATTAATGAACTGTTCGATTTTAAGGAAAAAATAAAATAAATTTAAATTTAAATAATTAATGCGTCGTGTTCAATAAATACCTCATTCAAAAAGTATTTGCTAATATCTCTTCGTGAATATAAAGAACTTTTGATAGCTACAATACGTTGGTTTTTACCATTTGACCAAGTTGCTCGATATATATTACTAAATCCTCCTTGTGCTATTTTTTCTATATTTTGAAGTTGAGTAAATGGTATCCATTCCATTACCGGGCGCGTTACATATTTTTTTTCAATAAACTCATAATCGTAAAGCGAGTTTAAAATCATATTCACATGTTTAAAGTCATGATTATTAAATTTTATTCTATCGACAATTTCGTCGTTACAATTATTATTTTTTTTAACCGGAAATAATTTTCCCTTGCATTTCCTGTATTTTGATTGATCCGTAGGTTCAAAGGGAATAATTAATTTTAAGATAGATCTGCATCTTTTATATAATATAGGACACCATTTCTGATTTTCGGATGTAGTAAATAATTCGCGAGCCAAAATTTTATCAAACGTATGACTTTTCGCCCATTCAGAAATTATCATATAATCCAATCCGAACATAAGCCGCATTAATTTCACACAAAAGATATAGCATTTTGCACTTAATTTTTTAATGCTTTTGTAGGGTATAATATGCAAGGACAAAAGAATTTGAGTTCAATCGTCTAAAATTTTTGTGCAAGATTTTTATACCGTTCGTTATTCCTACCTTTTTTTTTTTTTTTTTTTTAAAAAATTGTTAGTTTTAATGTATAAATAACCACCACGTTCCATATATTTACCTCCACATCTATTTGGAGGTTTGAAGGGTTTTTCATTCACAATACTTGCAAATTTCATAACTATTGTGCAATCAATATATTAAACAATTCACAATTTTTCAGATAAATTTATATCGATTGCGAATATAGATGTAATACAAATTCTTTTATTGTATTGCATTGACTTTGCATCCGATCCAATCTTAAATGATTTACAAATTACAGACAGATAATGAAAGCCAAATTTAGAATCAAATTAAAAGATTACAGACCTGCATTTTTTGATCTAAAATAAACAATGTGATCATCCAGATGATTCTTCGAAAGAAAAAAAAATAATCATAAAAGAGCCATTGATAATATCCATTATAAATTTAAACTTTACAAATTAACGAAGGAGGATTATAATTATTTATGTTATTTACTTAAATGTATTGATATAAAATCTTTGAATAACAAGAATCAAATATAAAGACAAATTGTGTTACTGTTCAATCTATAAAAATTTTTTTCGACAAAAAAAAAGATAGATGTGGCGACAATTCGCGAAACGCATTTTTATAAAGGTTAATAAAAAAATTTTTTTCAATAAAAATATAAAAATATAAACGATATTTTTTTGTACATAAATTAAATTAATTTTTTTTTATCTTACGTCCTCCAAAATTTAATCATTAATCATTCATGATCTAAAAGTTTTGTTTTAAACTTTCTCATCATTCCCATATAATCAGATTAAGTCAAGAAAAGAATAATTCTTTTTTTTAAGATTAAGTATAATAAAATAACTTCTTTCAAGTATGAAAGAAATGTTTAAAAAAAACTAATATATAATTCAAAAAAAATTGATATTTAAATTGAAAAGACAGCGAATTTAGCTATCCTGCTCTTCTTCATGAAAAAAATCAATGATTTTAAAATGCTCATATTTCATACCTTTGATATCGAATATATCGAATAATATTTATTTTTGAAGAAATGATTTTAGAGTATGATATATTTTTCAATTCGCCCAAATGATGTTCTTGAATCGCACAGATTCTTCTATTGAACTATTGAATTTTAATTTTTTTAAATTAAAACATATATTTTACAGAAAATAAATTGGAACCCAAATTTGATTTTTAAACAAAGCGGACTTTTTTATTTACAAAATAATTTGCAAGCTCTTTTCGTGGCGCAGTAATAACTTAAATAATTTGACAATACATAAGTATGTATTTGCTTTATTTCCTCCAACAAACTTCACGTCAGCTTCAATTACTTTGACATCCAGCCTCCTCTTCGTCAACTTTGAGTTGACGTTGATCTCTTCCGTATTAATATAATCACCCAACAGTGGCTGTCTCATTAACCAATCAATGAGAATTATCGTTATTATCATATATCTAAATATAAATGAAATATACATGATTAAACATAAAAAATAGCTATAAAAGATTACATGTGATGCTATATTGTAAGCAACTACTTTCATAACTTACAACTTCCCAACTTTTAAAAATGCTTGATAATATAAAATAAATATAAACATTAAATTAATAGTGGCACGTTAAATTGCCAATCGATCAATGATATCCTAACAAAAATAAAAATTTTTTTTCCTAATATAAGTCAAGGCGACTATTATATAATGACAATATTATTCAAAAAGCCTTGGATTTCCAATGCTTTGGAAGCATCATCTTGAGTGATAGATGGCGAAATTTCTAGGTTATGAATATATTACATTCTATTATTGCATTACATACGAAAGCCCATATTCAACTAACGGAATCGTAGATTGTTTGATGAGTAGTTCACGTAATTATGTGATAAACGTTCTTTTAATTACAAAATTTCTTTTTTATTGTCCCGAATTAAACATAGTTTTAGTCAATAAAAGAAGAAATTATTATCGCGGTGGAGGACAAGAAATATCAATGTACTAATCAAATTACTGTTAACGTATAATAATCGAATTTATTTAATAAATAGTCAAATAGAAATGCCCGATATTTATATTGAGAGTTATTATTATGGTTTAAATAAGCGAAGATTAGGTCCAAGAACCGTATCTATTAATTAAAGAAGTAATTTTAGTCATAATACATCATGTACATTTAAAAGGCTTTATAGTTCATTCATTGCATTAGTTATTTCTTTATTGGAAGCAAAAAGTTTAAGAAAAATTTCATGTAAAATACTTTAATCTTTCGATTTTGAATTTTATCATTCTCCGATAAAAACATTATTAAAATATCATTTATTAATACTTTAATTATTTTTTACATTAAAACATACTTCTTTGCTATCTTTAGGTTACACATTCAAGTAAAATTAATTCTATGGAATAAATTCGATTTAAGAGTTTTAAGTATTCGTAAAGACATTAATTAATCGCAGTTATTTGATTTAATTCTCAAGAAGTTAGGATTGCATTATTCCGGTACATAGGCTTCGACCCAATACATGTGGCATGCAATAAAATGAAATGCTGTAACCTCATTAATCATTAGTTGGTCATAATAAACCAAGTTAAAAATTTCCGAATCAAAATTTATAAAAAAAAAAATTTAATTTATTCTTGAAAGGAAAGGAATAGCTTATTATAATAGTCAAATTTAATGTATAATTTTCAGGGTTTAATATACGAATTTTCTTTAAAATTAAAGTTTTTTATTTTTTTTTAAAAAAAAAAATAATAACCCATATACAATTCATCAAGATTTAAGATCGGAATATATTTAATATTTAAGACATTTGTATTTTCTGGCGTAGGCGATATTAGTAAATAGTAAAAGTAATTATTTGACAACTTTGAAATATCAAACCGTAAAATATTGAGCAAAAAATACGAGTTATGTATATCTAAATCATTCTCACTCTGTAAAGTCTATATTAAGATATTCTGAAATTAAACTATCACCAGTTTTAACGCGTTTTCCTATAAAGTTCAATTAATAAATAACAATCAATTTTCATGAAAGTGTAGTAAAATGTAAATATAAAAATTTTCACTTACCCTTAACTTGAGAGTTGATTTCTGATTCTTCAATATCACGTTTTCTTGAAGAATTCCCAGATGAAATCGATGAATTTAATGGAATATTATAAGTTTCACTTTGATGCCGTGTATTTGAAGCATTCTGAGTTGTGGATTTTACATCTATTGCAGGTTGCCTATAAAATTCATTAAAAAAATATAAGGATTTCTAGCAATTCTTCATTTTAAAGAAAATTAATTTATTACAATGCCTTGAAATATCAAATTCCAATTCCTTAGAAGTATATTCTAATGAATAAAAAATTCAAAAAAGTCATTAGTTAAACCTAATTTGGCATGCACCGTATTTTCATAAAAATTTTACCATTTAATGATAAATTAGCGTAGCCTGCGTCTTGATACTGGATATTCGAACTTTCATTTACTAAAGACGAACTAGATATTGCATATATTATAAATTAATTCAATTTAAAATGGATAGACAACATATAGTATTAATAATTAAAAAAATTACATTACCTTTGGGTATTTATATCATATTCATGTTCCTTCGAAATATATTCTAGAATAGAAATAAAAAAAATATTAATGGACGGAAAAATTAATATTTGATAAACCACATTATATATAATTTATACCTTGTTTCATATTAAGTGAATTCATAAGTGATTTCATTGAAAATGTTCTACTTATATAGATTGATTTTGGATGCTTTTCAGTAAATTCAGGACCAAGTTTCTTTAATTTTATTAATTCTAATCGTTGTATTTCAGCTTGATTCAATTGCGTATCCATTTTTTTTCCGCGATACCAACCACCAATAGTTCTACGGATTTCTTTTATAGGAGGTCTTTTTAAAGGGAGTATCTTGTGTAATTTCAGGTCGTTTTCCATCTATAATTTCATAAATAAGTCTATGATCATGTTCAAACTCGGAGAAAGGCTTACAACCTGTTGTAAATTCCCACATAACCATACCAATACTATAAATATCAG